AGGCAGAGTAGGCCTTATATTTATACCTCTGTGGTGGAACCTGCTAGAACATCTTGCTTACTCAGCCTAGTCAGGTGATCAGGTCATATGACCAAGGATGAGGTCATATGAGGTCATGCACAGCCATGCACAGCAGGTCACCTGACCATCCAATCCTTCCAGCAGGTTCCAGCACATGCCAAGGTATACCAGCTACTTCCATGTCATAAAGGCTTAGTCATGTCTCTTGACCAAGCAATGAGCTGGTGCCCTGACATTCTGCCCCAGACTTCTAGCACACAAAAGTCAACACACCACCAGGAGTGAATGATCCATGCAGAAAACAATGAGTAGGTTTCATTCATACCTATGAGGAAACTTGTCTAGGTGTGGAAAAAAAACACATTCTTAGAGAAAAGGGGCCAAAAACATATATCTGATCATGGGGGTACTTGTCTGCTATCCTGTCACATGGTCTGTTCCGGCGAGAATCTAATAATAAAAATTCAGTGTTCATATTCAGCCAATGCAAGTCACTTGACACTGACCTCACTCAGCAGTGCCACAGGCCCTTGATCCATACACTGCACCAGTCCCCCCAATCATGATGCTATTGGCATGCTGGTTGGCAGCAGCAATTGCTTCTCCTTCCAGGGTGTTCACATCATTGCAAGTCATGAGATGACCTGTGACAAGGCGGTGGACTGCTTCCTTGACCCAAATGTGACAAGAAAATGTTGCACTGACTTCAGCCGCTGGAGTTTCCATGGGAATATCCCAAAGAATCTGGTCAATGGAAGCTACAACATATGTGAGCACAGGTACATGGAAGAGAGGAATTACTGACTGGACAAGTGAGCCTTGCCAATGAGGATGGCCACCACTGAAGTCATGGAGGTGATCATTTGCCACTCCTTTTGCTGGTAGTGCCAGCCAGGGTCCTGCATGGCATGAAAGGCAATGCAGGTCCCATCTGCATAAGTGGTGATGATGAGCCAGTGATAGCCATTGGCAAGGAAACCACAGGAGGTGAGAACAAGGTACATGCCAGGGGCAATAGTGCTGCTTGGAAGAGGCATGATGAGGGGGACAGGCTGATTTGTGGGATGAGGTATATGTTAGGGCAACACAGGCTGACTAAGTCTGCTCACCTAAGAGTGCCAAGAGTCTAAGCAGGCAACAAGGAAGTGGAGTAGACCTGATGACTAAGACCTATCTACAGTATAGGTACCTGTGGATGATCCTAAGAGACCAAGTCTGAAGAGACAGTCCCGGGCAGAGTAGGCCTTATATTTATACCTCTGTGGTGGAACCTGGTAGAACATCTTGCTTACTCAGCCTAGTCAGGTGATCAGGTCATATGACCAAGGATGA